TTTTAGTTAACACTATTTTATACAACAGAGACTATCACATCGGCTACGCCATGCGGCTGCTCGTTGTGGTTGTAGGATAGCCATGACGCAAGACGTGCACGTTCCTTCCGCAGGCATATGAGACTTAGGTTTATCTAGCCAAGCACCTACAGGGTCCATAGGCATTGCGTACGAGGACGAGTACGAGGATGAGGATGAGGACGACAATGAGGTGGACCAGAGGCATGAGGAGCTTGGCCCGTCTCAGCTCCAGGATGCTCCCTCGACTCAACCTACACAGCCTTCAGGCACTAGGCGACACCGTCCACCTGACCCTTGCACTCTAAGCACCGACGCTCTTGGTCACAAGGATAAGGGTAAGACTAGGAGACCGTGAGGGTTTGTGATAGATGTTATTATGTAGTATTATGGACTTTGTGTACTTTCATTATGAACTATTGTGGACTGTATGGACTATTATTATCGAATATGAACTACTATGGACTATAATTATGGACTGTATGGACTATTAATATGCTCATGTATATGGTTTTAGATGAATGTGGCATATATTTGTATGTTTGTACATGTTGTATTGAAGTTAAATATTCATCTCATATTTTTGTATGGATGGCATCAAAAAATAGAGGAAATTATGGTGAAATTTCTGCCTAAAGTATGTATTAACCAACGGCATTAGTTTTTCCGGTTTAAAATAGTGATTGATGTCTGAAATCAAATAGGCTTTTCAGTCATAGAATCTAGGGAAATAGCCTTTATAGTGATTTATCATATCACCATCGAATAGACTTTTCAGTGTCCGTCAAAATAGTGATTGAAGTCTGAAATCGAATAGGCTTTCAGTCATGGAATCTAGGCTCTCCAGTGTCTTACGATGTAGGCTTTTCAGTGATTCTGAGTAAACACAATACAACGGCTAGCAAACCTGCCTCCGCCTATATATATGCGTTCTAGGATGCATTGCTAACCAAAACGAAAACCAAACTAATATTTAGTTTTGTTGGAGTAGAAACGTCTGGAGGGTCATCTAGAGGAAAGGGTTTTAGGAGTGGGAGAGGAAAGGTGAGGCGAAGGGAACTCTCATTGTGTGGGAGGGGTCTCTTGGGTCTGATTTCTTTGAGGAACCAGTGTATCAGTTTTTTTTCAAGAGCAAGAGTGATTTCACTGAAGAGTGCCCTCTCAGAGGATACGATAACAGGAAGGAAGATTGGCTAAAATGCATGCATAGTGAGGACTGCTTAGTGCATATGTTCACCGAGGGGATCAACGGAGGTCGTCACTTCTTCAAATGCCCGCGAGCATGAGTAATTGCTATTATATTTCATTTGTTAAATATATTTCTCGAATACCCTTACAACTCACAGGACATATTTATTGTAGTCTTCCGAGTCCGAAGAAAATTATGGGTTCACTAGGTGGGTCAATTCTTGACTAATTTATCCACATCAGCAGTACATCTACTACCTACAGGACCAAATCTTCGATCTACAAAGAGAAGTTAGCAGCGGGTACAAGGAAGACAAAGACGACGACAACAATAATGGTGCAAGTTCACAGGAGGCACTCTATAATGATCCATATTGCACCTGCCCTAATCACAAGAACAAGAGGCCTCCGCCGTCACCCCCGCCGCCACCACCACCAACAATGGGAGGCTACTGTGGAGAAGGTGCAACACAATTTGCTATGTGGTCACACTACTAGGACGACCCTATCTTATTCATATGGCACATCCATGTGTTTGCTGTTTAGTTTAATTACATAAGGCATGTTAGGTTTAGTCGAAGGAACTATATACCCTTGTTTGACACATGTTCTCACATGCCATTTCTTGTGCTTGTTGTTCGCTTCAATTATCTAAGGCATGTTAGGTTTAGTTCAGGACCTCTGTACCCTAGTTCGGTATATGTTCTCACATGCTATTTCATGTGTTTTGTGTGTTGAATTATATAATGCCCTACTTCGTTATATTTTGTTTGCAGCACGTGATCACATATCACTACGTCCGCAATATTAAACTGAATATTTTGACCACAAATAATGAAAACAACTACATAATGAAAATTCCAATACTATGACATATTAAACAACACAATAATACTAGAAGTACGTGTCGACAAACTAAATAACGCAGTACATGACCTAAGTATGCCCATACTTAAAGTGCATTATATGACAACACAATGAAAAGTTCAACAGTAGACAACATTGTTCATGAATAAACCATAGAACTAGCAAGTAATGGAGACTACTGAGTACAATGAGGCCACTTTCCCTTCCTCAGGACATTGGGATTCTCCTCCATCGCTGCTTTCGCTCGGCGTGCACGCTCAAGATTCTTCTCCCTCTCCTCCCTGTACGCAGCAACACGCCTCCTTTCTTCCTCTTCCTTGTGCTCATTTTTTGCAGCCTTCTCTCCGCGTCTCTTCTCCATCATCTCCTTGTCCTCTGCCTCCCATCGCAACAGTTTATATCCATTCCTTGTCTTCAGGCTTGATCTTAGTGTCGATCCACTGCTCAAAATCATAGAGCGGTGGAGGGGTCTGCAAAAAATGTAATTGTTACAAAACAAAAAATCATGCAAGATGTCATATGACACAAACATCAATTCCTCGCCATCTTGTTAATGCGGCGCTGACGAAGTGTAGGCTCAAATGCAAAATTGAAACGCATCCAATACATCTGCCTATACGTGTCCTCTTTATCGGACTTGGCTACCTTGCAAGGATCGCCGCAAAAGCACATGGGCACTGGAACACCACTAGGCAGAGGTAATGGGTCGAAGGCATTTCCGGTCATCCGGCCATAACTATAATTTAGCCATTTTCGTTCTAAGAACCGAAAGCAATTAACCCATATCATAACAACGTGCGCTGATGTTACCTTGGTTTGGTAGCTTTTCCACGCCTTGACATTCTACGGTTGTATAATATAAATATTAAAATTGCATGAAATCATAAGTAATGATGATTCTTAAGTTGAAAAATCTGACTAATATATACCGAATCGATTTGAAAAAAACTAGGAGGGAGCGAGGATACCTTGCTCTCGAAGATCTACGGATCAAATCAAAGTTTTCAAGGTCCAATATGCCGATTTGTGAGGTAGGGTGAAGTGGTGAAAAAAACCCAAGAGGGAGAAGAAATAAGAGGAAGAAGGCTCGGGCATGAAGGTTGGGCGCCGGGTTAAAACACCACCTCGGCGCCAAGATCTATGGCGTCAAGTTCGGCGCCAAGGTGCTTGCCAAGTCACCGCCACGTCTGCGCCGAGCCCAAGACCTAGGCGCCGAATGCCGAGCCACCAACAATGGTGTCGAGCTAAAGGTCCAGATTTTAAAAACATAACTTCAGGGGCATATTTATGAAAAAATTTCAAAAAATGGCTAAAAAAACAAAAAATCGGGCAAAGGCACTGCCAGCTTTTCCTCCTGGACTCTCTCTCTCTCTCTCTCTCCCACTAGGTAGGAAAGATCAATGTAAGTTCATGTTTCCAAGCAACCACGTGGTATATCATATATGCAATTCCCTAGCTGTATTTTGGTGTGGCCACTTTTTAATTTTACTATGCAGGTGACAGCCTTGTAATTAAATAATATTTTTCCTAATTATGAGTGGCATTATGTTAGATTGGTATCTATAGGATGCTGCAGTCAGTATGTGTACTGGGAGAGTGGGAGCTTCACTGGATTTGTCTGAATTGTTGTAATAGAGTTTTGCACCGAGCAATGTTCACTTCTCCAATGACAAAAAGTGATTACGGATGACATCTTGAATTTCTCGGCACAAGCTATCTATATAACCTAACCAATGTATATAAGGTTATAGCTAATGATTTGTATAGATGCTCTAAAAAATTAAACCAACACACCTAAAAAGTTGAGAAATTACTTCATCCGTTCAAATCATAGTCCAATTTTGTTGTCTTTAAGTCAAAATCTCTCAAACTCCGACCAAGTTCATGGAAAAACACACCAATATTTATACAACTTTAAATTAGGTTCATTAAGTTCTTCATGATGTATGTCCCTGTGTATTTATTTGAACACATATATATTAATATATTTTTTCATAAATTTGATCAATGTTTAACTTAGGATAAGCCAAAGTTGATCCGAGGGACAACTCATTCCTCGGTATCTTTGCTAGTTGGTATCCCCAAACCACAATACTTATATCTGAGTTGTTTTCTTTGAGATAATCTTTTAAAAAAGCTAATCTCCTTTAAGGAAAACACTCAATAGTTTTCGTCTCAAGTATTCTTTTTATCATGACTCGACTAAAGGCATGTTTGATACACATGACTAGTTAATAGATGGCTAAAAATTAGTCCAAATTAGCTATGGTTAGCTAGTTACTAGATGAGCTAAAATTAGTTGAAGACATGTATGAAAACTTAACTCACCTATTAGCTCTTCCATTTAGAGTTAATGTGGATTAGTAAGTTTTTAGCTAGGTAGCAATTAACGCTTGAATTCAAACAGACTCTGGTCCTAGTAAGGTAAGGTTAAAGGGACGCGTTTTGGTTCGATAGAAAACTAAAATAAAAGAAAACTTTTCTACAAATTATTATGTATAAAGTTTTAAAACCAAACTGTCCGTAGATACTCCCTCACGAGTAGAGAAATATAAAATGAACGAGTAGGAAAAGCCTTTCGGCCTAGACATTTCGTCGAACGCCAGCGCCGAGTCGAGCGGTCGAGCCCCAGCCACCGCAGCCATGCTCCTCACGAAACCCCACCTCTCCAACTCGCTCCCCCAGTCCCATCCCCGCCGCCCTCGAGCTCCACTCTCAGCTCCAACCATGCCAGGCCCCTTGCCGCCCCTACTTGCCGTCGCAGGCGCCTCCGCATTTCCGCCACATCCACGGCTGCGCCGGCTCCTTCGGCGGCGGCAGCCGCTGCCACCGCGGCGCTGAGCCGAGTGGACGTGCTCTCGGAGGCGCTCCCTTTCATCCAGCGATTCAAGGGCAAGACGGTGGTGGTCAAGTACGGCGGTGCGGCGATGAAGTCCCCGGAGCTGCAGGCCTCCGTGATCCGCGACCTCGTGCTCCTCTCCTGCGTCGGCCTCCGCCCCGTGCTCGTCCACGGCGGGGGTCCGGAGATTAACTCCTGGCTGCTGCGCGTCGGCGTCGAGCCGCAGTTCCGCGACGGCCTCCGCGTCACGGACGCGCTCACCATGGAGGTCGTCGAGATGGTGCTCGTCGGGAAGGTCAACAAGAACCTCGTCTCCCTCATCAACATCGCGGGAGGAACCGCCGTTGGCCTCTGCGGCAAGGACGCGCGTCTCATCACCGCGCGCCCTTCCCCAAACGCAGCGGCGCTGGGATTCGTCGGCGAGGTCTCGCGCGTGGACGCCACCGTCCTCCATCCCATCATCGCCGCGGGCCATATCCCGGTTATCGCCACCGTGGCCGCCGACGAGACTGGGCAGGCCTACAACATCAATGCCGATACAGCGGCTGGCGAGATTGCCGCTGCCGTGGGCGCCGAGAAGCTGCTGCTGCTTACGGATGTGTCTGGGATTCTGGCGGACCGTAATGACCCTGGGAGCCTGGTGAAGGAGATTGACATTGCTGGGGTGCGGCAGATGGTGGCCGACGGGAAGGTAGCTGGTGGAATGATACCCAAGGTTGAGTGCTGTGTTCGCGCCCTTGCACAAGGTGTACATACCGCAAGTATCATTGATGGGCGTGTCCCACACTCCCTTCTGCTTGAGATTCTCACAGACGAGGGCACGGGCACCATGATCACTGGCTGAGCTGCTTCGTGCCTTCATGGTATTTTCCTGTGCCTCTTTTCTCATATTGTCATGTATTTTATGGCTATGTAGGCTTGACTCAAGATTGAAATAAGATTACCTAAGTTTGGTTGAGATGTTTCATGTTTGTGCGCCCATTTATTATATGTAACTTTGTTGGCAACTTGTTGAGGAAGATGTTGAAATTCTGTAGTTTGTTTGGTAAATTTGATCAATTCAGGTTACAATCTATTTGTGCGCCCATTTAAGTTTGTTTGGTAAATTGTATGCAGTTCAGAATCATTTGTTTTTAAAAAAGAATAACTTCACATGAGATTGGCCTGCAAAATTTGTAAACCTGTAAACTACAGATTTTGCTATTTTCATCCTGTGCATAGATGTGATGCTTGTACTGTTTAGTGTTTCTCTTCAATGAGTAGAGAAGACGCATCTATACCAGAAAGAGGGAGATATCAGTAAGTTTAGTTAACTAATTAATTTTGTAAAATAAGGCTTTCGCTTTGAGTCCTCTGAATATCTTTGTAGTATAAAAGACTAAAAGTTGTGTTTGAAGCAATAATGTTGGATTGGGTCATATTTCATAATAAATGCTTGATCATAAACATCAGTTCTCCTTCAGGCAAGTTTTTCCACGTTATTGAGAATGTGTCCAAGTTATGTGCCATCCAACTTTGATTACTGTTCATGATTTTTTGCTTGTGACATGTGAACTTGAATGACGTTATTTCAGTAGTACCTAACTGCCTAGTGCCAAGTGCCACCAACATCAGGGATATTTCATGGAAAATGGTTTATTCACCGTCTCAAATATATTGAAAACCAAGTGAGGTCATTTAATTAAGGAGTTAGCAGTAGCATCACTAATATGTTTTCTGCAACTAGTGATTTTGTTAATTGAAGTCAACTTTAGTGAAAATGTATTTGGGGTCAGAGGGAATACTTCATGTTAGCCCACTAAAGTCTGAAAATTTATCTTTCTGGTTGTGAAAAGAACCTCTAATTCTTGATGCTGAATTGCTGATTAAGCATGATGTGGGTCGCTGCCTCCATACTACTTTGCTGGGATCTATCATTATCTAGCTGTTAGGTACTGCTGTATCTTTCTTTTTAAAAGGATAAATTTAAGTTTTTTTTTTGCCAGTATGAAAATTTTCAGTTGATGGCCAGAAGCCCCCCTTAATTTGATGAAACTACTCCAACTTTTGCACGATGACTCTAGGTGTTGATGTTGTGTATATTCCTGTGCCTCTCTTCTCGTACTGTCATGTACTTTATGGCGATGTGGGCTTGACTCACGATTGCAATAAGAATACCTAAGTTTGGTTGGGGTGTTTGTGTGCCAACGTATTATTATTTGTAACTTTGTTGGCGACTTGTTGGGGAAAATGTTGACATTGTGTAGTTTGCTTGGTAAATTTTATAAATTCAGGTCACAATCTGTTTAAGCTAAGCAGTATTTATTGGCTGCAGTTCAGAATCATCTGTTTTAAAACTTCACATGAGATTGGTCTGCCAGGCTAAAAACCTGCAGACTACATATGCAGCTGTATCTATTCATCCTGTGAATAGATGTGATGCTTGTACTACTTAGCGTTTCTCTTGAATGAGAGAAAATGCATCTAAACCAGAAAGAGAGTGATGCCAGTAGGTTTAGTTAACTGATTAGTTTTGCAAAATATGACCTTTTCTTGAAGCTCTGAATTTCTTTGTAGTATAATGCTCTGTTTGAAGCAATAATGTTCTATAGCATTTTATAAATGCTTGATCATGAACCTGTTATGTGTGTAATGCTAATGCTAGATGTTTAATAAAACTGTTCTACATGCATAAACAGAACTGGACTGAAGTTGCTAAATGAAATGTTTCACTGTTGCCTTTTCTGCTCACTACATTAGTTGTCCTTGAGGCAGGGTCTTGCAACGTTATTTGTCATGGGGCTGAGTTATGTGCCATACTACTTTGATTACTGTCCATGATTTGTGAGATAAAAAGTTTTATGCATGCAAAAGTATGCTCTCACTCACAGCACAAGAATTCTTCTAGCAAACCTGCAGGTTGTCCCTTTTTTTGTAGAGAAGAGATCTTATCCAAAAGGTCTCCTAATGATTAAATAAACTAACCACTAGCACTTCAATATTCTATTTTTTTCATTGTTACAAACTGCATACATTATCAAATTAGTTTCATTAACTTATCCATGAAATATCTTGATAGTGCATTTATTTGAATTTGTAGATGTTAATGCATTTTTTTCTAAAAATATGGTTAAAGTTAGAAAATTTTGACTTAGGACAAAGCTAAAACGAGTCTTACCGCCTGTGACCGGAAGGTCCCGGGTTTGAGTCGCGGTCTCCTCGCATTGCACATGCGAGGGTAAGGCTTGCCACTGACACCCTTCCCTAGACCCTGCACAGAGCGGGAGCTCTCTGCACTGGCGACGCCTTTTTTAGGACAAAGCTAAAACAAACTATATTAATTTGGAAAGGAGGGAGTCTTTAAGTAGAAGAACACAATTTGTTTTAAAAGAGTAGGACTGAAGAGAGAAAAAAAATCCTGCGTACCATCTTAATATGGAGCTCATTAAAAATTTCATATATTATACACCATGAAATCTAGATGTAAAATCTACCTGACCGGCATTTTTGCTTGTATATCTAACTGTATAGCATGGCAATGCAAGCACTGTAGGCTTGTCCGCCTGCGGCTGATAATTCTTTAGCATATCTTTGTTAAACCCAATTCTGCCTCAGCTTTTGCTGTTCCATCATACATATTTTACTAAAACCTAATTTTCCTGTTCTGTAATATTACTCCATGATCCTTTTGGTTTGACTTGAATATAGATCCTTTTTTCTTAACTTTCAAATGGTCTTGAAATGTTCAGCATCCGTTAAAAAATGTTAAGCATTAAATTTGTCAGCTTTTGTTGATGTTAAGCATTGGATTCTTCCACTTCTTGGACCAATTGAATCGGTAACCGGGATAGTAGCTCTAGTGTGCAAAACCTGCTTAGCTTAGGTCATGGAGAGTGACAGTTCAGAAAAGTGTTCTTGCTGATGAGCAAAATGGCACATTGGCTATCGTATTTAGTTCATAATGCTTGATATTTCACGAGGTCTTGGTTCATTGTTCAGCTGCTGTGTTCAGTGGCGCACTTGCTACTAGCCTTTTTTATAGACATAAAGCAATGGTTCTAACGACAAATTCATCTCCGAACACTTGATTCCATCCATATTTTTTTTATGTCTTTAAAGACTTGGTTCATCCGTCCAGGTTCAGCAGAAGTAGGTGTGCAGTACTGCAGTGTACTGTAATGGATAGGACAACAGACGTGATATGGCACCACTTCATCAAGTTACTCGCGTGTAATGGATAGGAAAACTTCGATGGTGGAGCCCGACGCCCCGTTGCACATTTCTTCCCTTCGCTTTCCACAAGACCACAACCATGGCACAGTGAACTCCACGTCTCCACCTGCATCCAATGGACGGACGAAGTGCCTTCCGTTTGGTTTTTTATTACTGCAACACCTCGTGGAAACTTTCTCCCTGCTCATAGGCTCATAGCACATTCGAGAAAAGCGGGGAACTCCGCCCATTCTCCGGTGCATGCTGAATCTATTCCCAATCATGCTGTCCATTTTACTAACATTTCCGTGTGTGAGGATTGGTATTCCTTGCATATTTTAGTGCTGTTTGTTTGTCTGCTGTGCTTGAGCACTTAAACTCAAACAAAATGCCTGTGGTTACAGTGATATGATAACCTTAAATTTCGTCCTGTGCCGTGTTCATTTATCCGAGCCATTGGCTGAAAAACGAGCTGAGTGAAGCTCGCTTACCAATCCCATGTGGTTGTAATCAGAATGTGTTTGGCGTGTAAACTGCAAATCACGGTTTTCGTTCCGAATCAAACGTGCCTGTTAGAGCCAGCCTCTTGTGCAGGAGTACCTCTAATGTAATGACAAAATTTGGTCTTGAAAATGCGCAACGGCTGTGGACACATCGGTGGGCTCTCGAACACTGACGCGGTCGTTGACACTTGACAGCGAGGGACGGGCGCTTCCTAGGGAGATTTGTTGCGGCCTCATTCGAGATATTTTTAGACACAACTAGCTAATCCAGCGACTAGCCCTTTTTTAATTGAGAAAGGAAGCTACCTCACTTTTGCCCCTTATTTAAAACGCATAGTCGCACAACAAACCACCCTGGGATTCCACACCCAAAATGCCACCGATTCCCTGGCCAAAACCCTCCAAAAAGCTTAAAAACACCCCCGGAGATGCCATTCACACCACCACTTCTTCATCTACGCAACAAGGTGTACCATTAAATTTGATTAAACACTCCCATCATGGATCGATTCAAATGTACATTATCAGCCTGTTCGTTTGGTCGTATTTGGCTTATAAGTCATGGCTTATTAGCCAACGAATAATATTTTTCTCCCACACTAAACCAGACAACAGTACTTTCAGCCATGGCTTATAAGTCAAACAAGTCCAAACGAACAGGACGATATGTATGCAGTACAAAAATCATGGTTTTCTTTTTACTTCTTCATCTCATCTTATAAGAAAGCACTCTTAGTTTAGTTCTGTAGAATGGGTGGATCTCCAAAACCCAATGTCGTCGTAGGTTTAAATCCTACAGATCATACTCATTGTCACAAACAAGTGATGCTTTGAACATCAACATGGTCTTCAAATTACAACTTTAACTCATATTTTACATATAAATTTTTTTATAATACATAGAAAAAGTATTTTTGATGTTTCACGGTCTGAGTTCCACTTGCCCCTTGAGGCCTTGACGCAAATAAGACACCTAAAAGTTGATATTGTAAATTTTTTGTTTTAGATATTTGAGCTTATTAGTGGTTCTCACTCCCAGGGACCTTAATCTTGGTTGTAATTGCAATCATCTCAAAATATGAAACACGTTGGTGGGGAAGGAATTGGGTTCATGATGTGGCGCATGCGGCTGAGGTCGAATCCATCATCGGAGTCGGTGCCGGCGCCTGGTGGTGGAACGTTGAGCGATCATAGTTGTGCAGTCGCTCCATGTACTCAAAGAAGCGTACCCAATGGACTGCGGCGGGCGATGCTCCCGCCTAGCAGACCACGCGTGAGGAAGAGGGCGAAGAGGAAGTGGCGGCCAAGCATCCGTCGCGGCCATGGCACTCAGATGCGACGAATCAAGTGTGCACCTCTCCACTTGCTACGGGATACAAACGAATGATTGTGCCTAGATCTTTGAGGGGGATTGGTCATATGGTCTGGAAGGTGCGGAGGATGCCGGAGTCGGACGGAGGAGTACGGGCGCGAGGAAGAGACGAGGAGGGAGCAGAGGTATCACTGAAGGCTATGAAGTGATTTTTGGTGTTTGAATTATAATATGACAATTTGGACTCACATATGTTGCTAGTATAAAGGTTAAGTTCAAATGGATGTAAGGTTGGCTTGAACTCAGACAACGTGAAGATTGAAGTGAACACCTGCTGTTGAAGACCTTGTTGGCCCCTTCTAGATCTCATTATAACTCAAATTACGATTCTTACGCCATGGTGCAAGTTTATACGACTGTTTATGTCACTGTAGCAATGTAGAGTGCAATCTATGACTTATTCTTTTTTTTTTAATAAAATTTGAAAGGAGAGTTTCGAAACAAATGTGCAATAAGCAAAAGAGCTTTAATTTAACATGAGGATAAAAGGTTTATAAGAACTAATATGTTTAAAAATTTCAAATAAAAATTTAGACTCTTAATGCCACGAGGCATAGGCCTAATCTTTCAACGGCTGATTGTTAAATTATCACAGCCAGAGAGGGATTAAAGAGTATTTGTATGCATATTTTGTTAGAAAATAAATAAAGATAGGGCACAAAGATAAATATTTTAAATTAGGTGTAGATAATAGATACGTTACTTATCATGTCTCTCAAGATTTTCGTCTGTTCGGCTGGTATTAAAGCCGGCTGATAAGCCGGCTAACTGTTTTATTGTGAGAGAAAAATATTGTAGATTCTAGCTGATAAGCTCAAGCGAACAGGCTTAAAATATTGTAGATTTTAGCTGATAAGCGTGTCCGGATGTACCTCATCTAGTTGGATTAAATTTGATTAAAAGTCCCCATCACGAAATCCAACCCGTTCTAAATAGAACATGGGATTATTATATTGCAAAAAATTGCATGATGATGGGTCTCGTTGTTTAGCAAGTCCAAGCTCCAAAAACTAACTGAGAAGATAGATGACTTTCCTTAAGATTCGTCACTGTGTGCTGCAAATTTGGCCAGGCGCCAAACCACCAGCACTGAGCCACGGCCACACCACTGATACCACCGATGCAGAATGCACAAGGCCGGGCATCTATATTTCCGACTCCTCCACGCCTAGCAACGCGCCCGCGACCGAGACCGGCACAAGCACAACACAAACAAAACATGTCTCAACACACCATTGCCGCCATGCACGCCGTAGTGCACCACCACCCTGCCCACCGCGCACCGCCGCCTCGCCGCTGCTCTCGCGGCCACGGGCGCAGCAGCGTCGTCGTCCGCGCGGCGGCCGCCACCACCGTCACCAGCAACCCGGGCGCCGCGGCGACAGCGCCGGACTCGCCGTCCGCGGCGTTCTGGGACTACAACCTCCTGTTCCGGTCGCAGCGCGCCGAGTCCCGCGACCCCGTCGCGCTCCGCGTCACCGAGGGCGCGATCCCGGCGGACTTCCCGGCGGGCACCTACTACCTCGCAGGTCCGGGGATGTTCGCCGACGACCACGGGTCCACCGTGCACCCGCTCGACGGCCACGGCTACCTCCGCTCGTTCCGCTTCAGCGCCGACGGCGGCGGCGCGGCGACAGCGCACTACTCCGCGCGGTACGTGGAGACGGCGGCGAAGCGGGAGGAGCACGACGACGCGGGCGCGTCGTCGTGGCGGTTCACGCACCGGGGCCCCTTCTCGGTGCTGCAGGGCGGAACCCGGGTGGGCAACGTGAAGGTGATGAAGAACGTGGCCAACACCAGCGTGCTGCGCTGGGGCGGCCGCGTGCTCTGCCTCTGGGAAGGCGGTGAGCCGTACGAGCTGGACCCGCGGACGCTGGAGACCATCGGCCCGTTCGACATCCTCGGCCGCATCGGTGGCACCACCACCGACGAAGCGGCACGAGACAACGACAGCAGCGAGGCTGCGCGTCATCGGCGGCGGCGGCCGTGGCTGCAGGAGGCAGGGATCGACGTGGCCGCGCGCCTGCTGCGACCGGTCCTCCGTGGTCTGTACCGTCACTGCCACCTCTGCATCTGCATGCGGTCGGCGCACGCACCAGAGCCTGCGGTTGTCCACTCCACTCCGACCCGACCGACCTGACGTTTGTGCACTCGTGTGGCTCCCGCAGGTGTCTTCAGCATGCCGGCCAAGCGGCTGCTCGCGCACTACAAGATCGACACCAAGAGGAACCGGCTGCTGATGGTGGCCTGCAACGCCGAGGACATGCTCCTCCCGCGCTCCAACTTCACTTTCTACGGTCCGCCCTGCACTGCACATGCACCCCTTAGCCTGCTCAAATCGAATCGATCACAGATTCAAACTAAGTTCACGCCACCAGCTCGATCACTGACGTTGACGACGGCACTGCACCGCAGAGTTCGACGCCAATTTCGAGCTGGTGCAGACGCGGGAGTTCGTGGTGCCGGACCACCTGATGATCCACGACTGGACCTTCACGGACAGCCACTACGTCCTCCTCGGCAACAGAATCAGGCTGGACATTCCCGGTACGGAAGGGGATTAGAGTACTTCTCTCCTTTTTTCTTTAACTCCTGAGGCCAGAGTCATTTGCAGCATATCTCACGTGAGTGGCGTGCGGTGTTTGGGCAGGTTCGCTGCTGGCGCTCACGGGCACTCACCCAATGATCGCCGCCCTCGCCGTGGACCCGAGCCGGCAGTCCACACCCGTCTACCTGCTGCCGCGCTCCCCGGAGGCCGAGGCCGAGGCCGACGCCAGCGGCCGCGACTGGAGCGTGCCCATCGAGGCGCCGTCGCAGATGTGGTCGATGCACGTCGGCAACGCCTTCGAGGAGCGGAACGCGCGGGGCGGCATCAACATACAGCTCCACATGTCCGGCTGCTCCTACCAGTGGTTCAACTTCCACAGAATGTTTGGTAAATTCCGGATACATACATCTTCAAAATCCTGTTGATTGAACAATGTTGTTCACCATGTACATCTTCGAAATTCTTTGACCTGCTACCGACGCAGGTTACAATTGGCAGAACAAGAAGCTGGACCCGTCCTTCATGAACATAGCCAAGGGCAGGGAATGGTTACCTCGTCTTGTTCAGGTGAGCAATCGCTTTAATTAACTTGGGGTACTGTACCAGATGTGGAATATTTAGGGTCTCTTTGGCATGGCTTATGCCGGCTTCGGCTTCATTTATTTTGCGTAAATCGAAGCACTATAGCGTGAAGCCGTTTTGTAAGCTGGGGTTAAAATGAACTAGAAGCCGAGAAAAATCAATTTTTCTACCACCGGTGAAGCCGTTTTGGATGAGCCGTGCCAAAGAGGGCTTTAATAGTGACAGAGTCGTGACCTTTAAAAAAAATTGACCTTTCAAAAATAACAGAGTTGTCGTACGCCACGACCAATCCAAATATCCAATGCAGGTGTCGATCGACCTCGACAAGAGAGGAGCGTGCCGAGGATGCTCCGTCCGGAGACTGTCCGACCAGTGGACCAGGCCGGCGGACTTCCCGGCGATCAACCCAGGCTTCGCCAACCGGAGGAACCGGTTCATCTACGCCGGTGGTGCCTCCGGTTCACGCAGATTCTTGCCGTACTTCCCCTTCGACAGCGTCGTCAAGGTAGACGTCGCTGATGGATCGGCGCGGTCGTGGTCTGCCTCGGGGCGCAAGTTCGTTGGTGAGCCGGTCTTCGTCCCGACCGGCAGTAGCGAGGATGACGGCTATGTTCTGCTTGTCGAGGTAGGAGGCACATCCATTCAAGAACCGACATGGAGAAAGAGAAACATGTCAGCTGACCCTGATGTTGCTTTGTTCGCAGTATGCAGTGTCTGATCACAGGTGCCATCTGGTGGTGCTGGACGCAAGGAAGATCGGGGAAAGGGACGCAGTTGTGGCAAAACTTGAGGTGCCCAAGCACCTCACCTTCCCAATGGGATTCCATGGGTTCTGGGCAGATGAATGACACCACAAACTCCAATCTAACTCACTGAGCCCTGAAGTAGACCCAAGTTGTCTTGATCGCTTGAAACCTCTGAAAATGAAAGGAACGCAACAAACAGGGGCTTTTGTTGTTCCTCGTTCGCTCTTCGGTCGGTTGCCCTCTCACAAGCCATCACGGAGGAGACGTCTACTTTGGCTCGAGCTGCTTTCAAGAACCTCGTACTTGGACTCTTCTGGCATCAACGACTTCTACGATTCCTTGGCTTTCCCACTCTTTTGACATGTTTTGTACCATGATCGCCTCAACTTTGTATTGAACTCCTTTTTCTATTTAGTGAAATATATGCTCCGCACGTTCTCAAAAAAAAAAAAGGTCGCTCAAACAAACACATGATACCGTGTCAAGTCTGTTCAAATGTACCATGGAACATGGATGGAAAGTGCTCTACATCAAGCACTGATAACCTGTAGAATTTTGCCTCGCCAAGCCTTTAGACCATACTAATGTTCATGAAGCACACGGCAGATCATATTATGTAATAACGTTCAAGGCAATCCCACACAGTAAACATATAAAGTTTCCACCAAGAGTACTGGTAAGGCAACTTCTGGACCCGAAACCTAAGACATAACATCACAGATAACCATATTGAAAAGGACTAATTCTAGAAGTAATCCTGCACACAACTAAGAAACCACCAAACTGTGAAGTCGACGAATTGCTGTGCTCAGCGTATACGAGCGATAGTTACCACGATGAAGACGAACACCGAGAGCATGAATGACATCTTCACTATATCATCAGAGAAATCGTAGTTCTTGCCCCCGGCTTGAAAAAGCATATTCACGAGCCCAAGTATTTTCTCAAGGAATTCCCTGATTTTTGCCTGGGTGTTTTCCAGGACCCACATCATAAATCCAGGAGGAGCAGTAGAGCTTCCCTTGAGATCAGTTTCCTTGGCTGAAAGACAGGATAAGTAGCATCAGATGCAGATTCGTCCAACTAATAAAACAAGAGGCCAACAGAACTAAGTGGGTTTTATTGTTTATATGTTTTCACAAAACAAAAGGTCAAAAAGATTATTCAAGGGCTGCTGCCTAATAACTTAAAAACATTGCTCACCCATGCCATTCCAAAGATGCCAAAAGCAGAATCTAAAAAAGTCACCTACCATCCTGGAAGGATCTCTTGAATTCTTGTACCACATCGTTGTTCATCACAGCATCCCATACAGCCTTGTCAGTTGACAAGGCCATAACCATTTTCTGCATGTAAGCAAAAGGAAGTCATGGTAAAGCAGGAAAACTAGGTTATTTTTGTAGACAATATATATGAACGGACACTGATGGCGTGTAAAGGTTTTATGGCACGAAATTCATATCTCTATGCGCATATATAAATAGCACCACTCAAGTCAAGCCACATTACCTGAACAGAAGCGTCTTCGTGCAATAGGTGGAATGCATCCAGTACACTTCGATGTTCCTTTGTCAAAAGAGCACTTGAGTTAAGAACGAGCCTAGCAGGTTCAGTCCATTCATCTAGTCCGACCTCAGATGCATCAGAACCCAAAGCAAAATGATTAACGAATATCCCAGACGAAGGGTGCCCTGAGATGGGCAATGCGAGGGCTTGTAGATCAGCCGCTTCAGAGTCCACGGCAGGAGCCTTCTCAAACACCCTGCATGAAAGAGTCAATTTGCTTAGATGGGATCAATAACGCCACGCCAGACTGAATCTAAACAATACTGAGGGGCTGTTTGGAACGAGGGATTCGTAGAGGAATTTCAGAGGAAAGTCGTTCCAGAGTTTTGATGACGTCACTGACCATTTGGATCAAAGGAATCAAACTTTACCGTTCCTCCGGAAAGGGCAGCATGCTTCACAAAACAAAGGAATCAGAACATCCACCGGAAGCCAATGTTTTCGCAGAAGCCCGAGGAAAGCGTGTTTGCAGAGAGTGTGCAGTGTTACTTCCTGCGTTTTTCATGTGTTATGGATTCCTGCGTTCCAAACACCTCTTCTAGTTATTTTCTGCGTTTTTCCTTTTCTCTGTTTTACCACTACACACTCACCACATTCCTACGTTTTTTTTCTATTCCCGTGTTTTTTATTCATGCGTTCCAAACAGGCCCTTGAAGGGTGACAACTTCACTAACAGGATAAGAAGCTCTAACTAGGCAATGACGGAGCAAGTATCAATCAACATAGTAAAAAAAAGCAAGAAAATTTGCTCTCTTAGCAGAATTTTTTTTTTTAAGAAATTGGAGATGCAACTGCATCTGATAGCAAGGCGTACACTCTAAGCAATTTGAAGGATACACGAATCAAACATAGAGTGATTTGAGGCACGCTAACTTGCAGATGACAATTCGCAGTAAATAATACCGGATTGCCGGTCCGTGCAAAAACTGCAAATCATGGGAAACTTCACAATCTAATTACAGACACCAGATTTAAGTAAGCAACATGTAATTAATTACACTAAAAAACTCCAATCTTGAAACAATGATCTTTTCCAAACTATAATCCAATTATACAACCAGATCATCACCAACCTAAGAAATCAACAGCTATAACTTTACTTTTAGCAAAAGTAGATAGAATCTTACTGCTTGATGCTGGCGACGGCGGCGCGGACCTCGTCGTCGGTGGGCGCGACCCCGAACACAACACCATGCTCCTCCGTTGCCTCATGGAGGGCGTCAGATGCGTCGGCATCCCCCGCGGCGACGACGACCTCCTCCCAGTCCTCGCCGTCGCTGCGCAGCGTGCGGAACTCCCAGCCCGCGGCGGAGGAGATGGAAGCCGGAGGAGGCGGCGAGGAGGCGCGCAGCGAGCGGCCTCCGGCGCGCGACAGTGAAAGGGCGCCGCCGGAGGAGGAAGAAGCTGGGATGGCTGGGGCGGTGGCCGCGGCGGAGCGGCTGGCGAGGCGCATGAGATTCCTGCTCGTCATGGCTGATGCGTCGCCGCCTCTCCAACCTCGCCGCTCCCTTCTCGTATGAACCACGTAAACCACCATGGAGTGCGCCGCAGCCGCCGCTCTGAGCTTGGAAGTTCTTTTCTGAGCGCGCCGCAGCCACCCTTAGAGCCTGCTTGGAAGTTCTTTTCTTGGGTATGGCTTCCTCGTTGGTCGGTTAAAATACCCAATCTACTTTCGGAGATAATAACCCTAGTGGAGCTATAGAAATTGCACGATACATTAAATAACACCAGGGTTTACAGTTTACATAATAAAAGTGGACAGAATTTTTTCTTTTACTTCCCACAATATTCGTATGTGACTTAAACATCATCTATATTATTATGTGAGTTAGAACAACACGCGTTATGTATGAAGTCTAATTTGAATACGTATTAAAATTGACATAATTCGTTGAAAACAATTCTAAGCCAATAAGCTACTCTCTACGTCCTAAAATAATTATACTTTTTAGATTCAAAATTTGTCCCAGATAAGAATATTTTAGCTTGTGGACCAGCTAGATGCTATTAACTTTTACTACTTTCTCTACTTTTCAAAGTGCTTGGTACTACTTTTAATAAGGTATATATAAAATTTCGATAAATCTATTTCTCACTCGAGTGTTTCTGGCTGTTTCCGCACTTGATTTTGCTGATGTCGGATTTGGGCCGTCAACGAAGGCGATGATACCGGTGAAGGCGAAGTGCACCATCTCCTATTCATCTTCTCCAGTGGGTATAGAAGGGGTCGGCCGGGGGGGGGAGTCGGCCAGGTTGTGGGGACGGTGACCGGGCGGTGTTAGGGCCCCGGCGGCGATGGAGGCAGCCAGACCAGGTCAAGACAGGAGCGCGATGGCCGGAGCTTGTTGCGGCGAGAGGAGAAAGGGGAAGAAGGTGGCCGCGACGGGCGACAGCGGGGGCGAGCAAGAAGATGAATAGTGAAAAAAATTTGATCGAGTATTTCGCCTCCCAAAACACTCGACCGCCGGGTAGACACACTCTAAAATTTTATAGCTTTGGTTTTCCCACTCATTATAGAAGTTAACTTATTTTGGCATGAAGAAAGTATGTGTTGCAATATCACGAAGATGTTTGCTACTATATTGACATAATCTAATTTCTCCAGCACATACGGTCTCTCCTTGTTACCAGGTGACAAAGATCTGTATGCGCTCATTAATTAGTAGAGAACTCATAATTTGGATCGAGTTTCCGGATGCAAATGTACATCTTTTAATCTCAGCCGCGGCTTTCTCGGTGCTAACTTTTTATCTCTATATAAATTATTAAGTATATTTTGATTTGTAACAATCAATAGGCTTGTGTCAGCATAACCTTTTCTTATTGCTGAAGAAAACTGTGTTACGTGATCTAATACCCATCCACGGTTTATAAAATATTAATGAGCCACTGTCAAATGTAATTTTCTATTTCATGATGCAATTATCTGTGATTTGAATAACAACCCCGTGCCGTATGAGTCATTTCCCCGTTTGTCTAGTATAATATATGCCAATTTCCCGGTTCTACCGGTAGTTCCTCGCTGAGAGAGAAACCACCTAATCGTTGGTAGCACGAACAGGGTCCATCGGCATCAGGTATCGATATCAGGGATATCCAAAGCAAGAAGGTTAGTATCCATGTTGACTTTCTCGGATGGAGCAAGATGTATTAAAAGGTCTCGCCCGACTCCAAGACCGCGGGCTCCGTCTCGCCCGACCCCTTGGGTGCGGGCTCCGTCTCGCTCGACCCCAAGGCCGCGGGTTCCGTCTCGCCCGATCCCAAGGCCATGGTTTCCGTCTCGTCTGACGGGGACTCATATCGCCGCCAGCCACTCTAGGTCCAGGCATATGGGCCTGGGTCAAAACTCTGACACCAGGGAAGAGACTAGCACGCCTCGATATAACCCGTGGCCATGACGGATCATACCTAAGGATTCACATCAAGAACGATAAAGGCGTGCGATCTTTATTACGCTACCCTCCCTCATCGAACGGCCAGCGAGACACGTCAGTTCACCACGACGTTCGCTAGGACGGAATGGAACACCATGACCGGCAGATGACCCCTGCGCATGGCGCCAGAGACGAACAGGAGCTGTCCCTGTTGACATCTACAGGATCAGCAGGACCCACATGAAGGAGAAGAAGAACCCGGCGATCCTGGAAGTCTTCTTCTCTCTCTCGTTCTTCTCCTTTTCCTCCACTGTAACCCACACTTTTTCTTCGCCTATAAAAGGAAAAGCAGGACGCCCCTACCGGGGGACTGAATGACAAACGAATCGAAACACAAGAGCACGACACGATCACACAGCTGAGCGGCAATCGAGCTCTTAGCACCCGTTCACTCCTTCTATCAGAGACTTGGGATCCTTTTTCTCTCTCCCTGTTTGTAACCCCTACTGTAAACCAAGTGTCGGTAACATGAGCAGTAGCGAACTGGACGTAGGGACATTCCGCCCGATTCCAGTATAAACCCTTGTGTTCTCCAAGCACACCATCCGAGCCAGACGCGCAAATACAAATTTACTCGTCAGTGGTACGAAAACACCGACAGTAGACGCGCCAGGTAGGGGCTTTTTGCGCGTCTCGATGTCCACATCAGGCCTTAGATGGCTAGTCACGGTGTCAGCTGGGTCCCAGGCGCGCACGTGCGCTTCGGGAACCTGGACTTCATCATTTCGACGGAGGGAGAGTTGGCGCAAGTTCCCGCCGCCGTCCAAACTCTCCACTCTGCCGGCCTCGACGCAATCGCCGAGGCGCTTGAGGAGCTGCAGCTGCACACACCGGAGGCCCGCGCCCCGGGGCGACTAGCTCCTCGGCTTCGATTACAGGAGGCTAGAGCGCCAGCTCGGCGCCTTCCTAGGACCCCGACCGTCCCGGGAGGACCTACGCCATCTCACCTTCTCGTTCGCGAACGTCATTACGCAGCTTGCCGAAGGAGAGCCGCTCTCCCTAGAATATCTCATCCAAAGTGCCCTGGCAGCGCTCCCGTTCGGTCTGCGCAACGCCGCAGAGACCGTTGGCCACCTTGTGGCGCAACAAATGCCCTCATCCCCTATGAATGACGAGTTCGTGGGGATGACCGAATATGTCGTGGAATCTTTCCACGACCTCCTCGCTGGAGAATCGGAGTCGCCCTCTAACTCTGAATCCAACAGGGGGAGCCATCACCCCTCGTGAGAATATTTCATGGTAGGTACCCCCGAGGGATACGTCGAAAGCATCCACGTGGGAGGGGCTACCCCAACAGACGACCTCAACGACGAGGTCAAGAGGGACGCAGGGGCCTCGCCTCGCCTGCGGGTAGAGCAGCTGAGGGCGCGGTGCCAAGAGCTCTAAGATGCACGACTCTAGCTCAAGCAGGAACGCGCGGAGCTTGAGCGAGAGATCGAGTGCCATGAAATGATGGGCGTGCGCGTGCCATGGCTTATGACATGAACCGGAGGATCATTGAGGATGACGAAGCCCTCCCACACTTTACCCTAGCAAGACCAGAATGACACTACCGCAATGGCCTTACTCGGGGGCTTCCGGAGCCCACGACACCCGAGGATCGTCGAGCCCATCGCGAGATTCGTACGCTACTCGAGCATGCGGCGGCGCAGCAGGCCGAGAGCTCGCTGTCCCGACAACACGAGCTCGACGCCAACCAGCACATGCCCTCAGAGCCACCCGACAAGGACGTGTCGGTCCATCAGGCGCAGCAAGGCGGCAGGCCGCGCGCCGCGGCCCCGGTGCATGAGCGTCTCGGCCTCCACCATGATGCGCATGATACCCTAGATGCTCGTAGGCATGCCCACGACAATGAGAGGGAGGAGGCTAGCCATGGCTACTACCCTTGTTGTGGCGGACGCTACAACAGCTGCGAGGACCGAAGCCCGAGCCCCGACTTGCCAGGACCTCAGGCCTTTGGTCGACACATCCTCAACGCCGTCTTCCCACTGCGGTACCGACCACCGACCAACATCCCAAAATACTCTAGGAAAACAAACGTCGGACTGTGGCTCGAGGATTATCTTGCTTGCCAAGCCGGTGGAGCGGATAGTGACGATTTCATTATCCGCAACCTTCCATTGTTCCTGGCCAATTCGGTGCGAACGTGGTTGGAACACCTTCCGCCCAACCGAATCTAAAGTTGGGCGGACCTAAAAGATATCTTTGTGGGAAACTTCTAGGGCACATACGCGCGTCCTAGGAACCCATGGGATCTCAAAAACTGCCGATAGAAGTCTAGGGAAACTCTTCGTGGGTACATCCGGCGCTTCTCCCGGCAGTGCAACATGCTGCCCAACGTCGTCGACGCCGACGTCATAGGAGCTTTCCTATCTAGGACCACCTGCGATTCCCTGGTTCACAAGCTAGGACGTAAGGGCCCACGAACCACCAAGGAGCTCCTCAACATTGTCACCAGCCATGTCTCGGGCGAGGAGGCGGTCGGGGTGATTTTTGACCGCCCTAAGGGCAAGGCAAAGTGGGACGAGGACACCGGTGAAGGCGCCTCCAACCACCCCAACAAGGCAGCGGACGCAAGGAGGGTCGGGGCGGGGCCTACCGCAATTGCAAGGGGTCAAAGCCCACCGTGGGTACCAAGACCACTTCGAGAAGCTACTCGAAGGGCCATGCCTGAACCATGCTTTTTTGCACCTATACCGCATCCTCTGAAGGGCAAGGCAAGGAGCCAAGCCGACCACAAAGCGGTGGGCGCGAGGACACGGATCTTGATGGCGCCCCAACCACCCCAACACGAGTCTATATGAAGACCTTTCTTCCTCCAATGGTGAGTCCGCCATAACCTTTGATCGAATCGACCACCCGTAAAGCGTCCCGTAGCTAGAAAGATATCCTCGTGGTCGATGAAAGGTCCTAATATGGCTAGAGGGGGGTGAATAGCCTATTTAAAAACTACAAATCAACTAGAGCAATTTGGGGTCAAAATGCAAACCTCACCTAGGGTGCAACCACCTATCCAACAATTCTAGTTGCAATGATC